TAGCATCTTTTTAGGCACATTTTAGCATCTTTTTAGCCACATTTTAGGCACATTTTAGCATCTTTTTAGGTACACTTTAGCATCTTTTTAGACACTTTTTAGCCTCATTTTAGGCACATTTTAGCCTAATTTTAGCATTTTTTTAGACACATTTTATCCTCATTTTACAGGGGGGGGATTTTGGTCGGCAGGGTACTCGGTTCTGTTGACAGGGCAGGGCGCCTTTCTTAAATAAAAGTGGAAGAAACACTGCCATGGTAACCACACACCTGTCTGTCACTCCCTGACTGCACTCCTCAGAAAACAGAGCAGGAGTGAAGCACACGGTGCTGCTTTTTGTGTTTTTGGACCAGAGTCTGCCCGCTTGGGATGAAAGTCCTGCCTTTTTACATCAAACTACATTAGTACACATTCATAAACCACAACAACAAAATTTATTTAAACATATTTTAGTAGATATGCTTCGTTGAAAGAACAAATAAGATCGAAACCTGGAAACATTCAAAATGTCCTTTTTTTTTTTTTTGTTAATCTGGAAATTTCCCGTTCGTGTGCACCGACCCCATCTTAAACTGCTTCAGCCTCAATGTCTGCAACACATTCCTGTGTCTAAGTATTAATACTTGTCAACAATTAGTTAATTTAGTATTTTATGGAGGCGTTTTGAGGAGAACTTTGAGCTCAGATCCAACAGAAGTCGTGAGAGTTTGGCTGCATTCTGAGGAGATTTGAGCATCGGTCTGACAGCAGAGACGCTGAGTGGACGTTTTTCACATATAATCTGGATTAAAAAAAATGTAAAATTGGTTCAAGATTCTGTTTTAAAATCTACAAAAATCGTAAAATTTTAGCTACAGTTTAGTGAATTTTAGGTATCGTACTGTTTGTTTTAAGCTACTTTTAACTTAGCTTTTCTTCTAGTTTTAGCTTTAGCAACTTAGTGTCAGGCCTCAACCTTCACACAGTATTTCACAGAATAAGCTTATTTTTTATTTGTTTGTTGTTGTTGTTTAGCGATGGACAGACAGGAGGAGATCAGCCCCGAACACCCTAACAACAGCAACATCCGCTGCAGCCCGCAGGACAAGCGCTGCATTCAGAGGACCCTGGCCCGACACCCGCTGAAGTCCATAAATCTGAGGATCAACGGCGCCAGAGACGAGACCAAGCTGGTCCTGGTGAGAACCGCCACGAGCTCCATAAAAACACAACGAACCCTGCAGGTGGTTCACATTAAGGCTTTATGACTCCAAAGTGCAACAGTCAGGTTATAAATTCTTTCAATTAGTTATTTACCAAGCAGAACACTTAATAAGCGTCTGGGGAAATAAAGTTCTGATCCGCGCTGACATCAGCAATCTGCAATTATAATCTGGCCCAGAAGAATCTTTATGTCTGGATTAATCAGTGCCAGGCACGTGTTCTTACATAAACATAAACATTTTCACCAGGCTCACGCCCCAACACAAATCTTTTTAACGGGCTTTGAGGAAGTGTCGGACCGAACCGAACGGCCGCCGGAACAAACCGTTCACACGCAACCATAGAGTGGTTTGATAAAATAAAACAAAAACGCAGCCGAGTCCCAGGAATATTTAGACAAATATCCAACACGTCCCTCCTGCGCGAGGCCGAACACTGACGTAATTCACAACAAAACAGAGAATTATTATTAACACAGCACAAGGTCTAAAGTCTGGACCCAGAACTCCAGAACCACACACAGACAGTTCACTGTGAGGAGGGATGTCATTAAATATATTTTAAATTTGTCTTCAGAAGTCATAATCATCGCCCGCCACCGTAAAGTGAAGGCAATTGATTATTGGGTCTCCAGCGAGTTACCTTATGGAGACAACCCAATTAAAAATGGCCACCGCAGCGAACCTTAGCTTACATAACTCAGTCATTTCTGCAGATACTGAGCTAAAATCTGGTGTGGTAGTAGCCGAGAGTCATTCACAACACACACTCTGAGAGGGACAAGTTATCCATTTTCAGTTTAATTACATTTACAGCTCATTGCCTCACATTTTTGTTTTACCGTACAGTTACAATATCTAATCAGAACTTCATTCTCCAAAAGGCGCCGTGTCGCGCTGAGCTCCAAAGAGCACTGGATAGGTTGGGATCGAACAGCCGTACCCACGACGACCTCTTCACCATCCCCATCCCCAACTGTGACAAGAATGGAGACTTCCACCCGAAACAGGTTTGCAGCTCTGAGCCTAAACCGGAACAACAAGCAGAACACTCTTATGGTCTTTGGATCCTTATTGTCAACACAAACAAGAGAAATTACATTTTCTGTAAAAACGTTACATGAACTTTAAATGTGTCCTAAGTTTGCTGGCAAACCTGATACTGAGCTGAAAGCTAAATAAAAAATTCACTGACTAAAAGCTAATAGTAGCGAAGAGCTAACAAAACTTTGCAAATGACTAATTAAAACTTAATAGTAAATACCTAGCTAAAACAAAAATAGGCTATTGCACAAAGCTAGTTTAAACCAAAAAGTAGCTAAAAGCTAGCTTAAACCTAAAAGTAGCATAAAGCTAGCTTAAACCTTAAAGTAGCAAAAAGCTAGCTTAAACCTTAAAGTAGCAAAAAGCTAGCTTAAACCTTAAAGTAGCAAAAAGCTAGCTTAAACCTTA